GGCTTTAGATTTATATTACCACTTAGCAGACTTGGGGTTACAAAGCAACATACTGGTAAGTCACTGCCTGCTTCCGGGTTTAGATCACGCGCATGAGCACTCCCTCGCTGACGCCCGCTTTGTCCAATGATTCGTAGACGGGACCCGCTGATTGGCTCTGTACAATCACAGTCTAAAGCCCTGTGTTGACATTTAATACAGGGCTCTGTACACAGGGATCGATCTCACTGTTTCTCATCCCTGCAAAGCAGGAATGAGAAACAAAGAGATCTCTTAGTAAAAGCAGCACATAATACACACATTGGTAGGCACACAGTAAACCCTCTGATGGTCCTAGATGTCAAACCCTTCCCAGCGAGTCTCATTAGTACACTGACAGTGTATATTATTATCACTGATCACTGGGGATGTCAGTTGCAGTTACCCACAGCATCAGTTAGTGCCAGATTACTATCACAGTACCGTTACGAATCGCTTGATCACTAACATTAGTAGTAGAAAAATACAATTCCAGTATATATCCCATAGTTTGTAGGCACTATAACTTTTACGCAAACCAATTAATATATACTTATTGGGGTTTCTTTTTTATCAGACATGTAGCAGAATACATTTTGGCCTAAATTAATGAAGAAATTATTTTTTTAAACTTTTTATCCATTATGTTTTAGTCACCATGCGCTTTTTTATGCCCCTAGAAGCTTTTTTTTTAATTTAAATATTTATAATTTTTTTTAGATAAACAAGTTATACAAACATACTCATTAAAACTAGAGATGAGCGAATCGAACTTGGCGAAGTGGAATTCGTTTCGAATATTAGGAAAAATACGATTCGCACCGAATCCGAAAATTAGCAAACTTCGGATGCACGAATCGAATTTTTCCCGATCGGCCGATTTTCATCCCTTCTACAGCCGGCAAAAAGTGTCCCTGCAGAGAGCTCCGCTATTTCTGACAGTTCTCTGACAGTTCCTTCACATTTACAGCGGTTGAAACATTGTATCTATTTGCTTCCATTTAGGATACAGATGTTTTTATTCGGAAACAAATAGATACAATGTTTCAACCGCTGTAAATGTGAAGGAACTGTCAGAGAACTGTCAGAAATAGCGGAGCTCTCTGCAGATACACTTTTTGCTGTACTGGAATTCTTCTTATTTTCATTCTTCTTCTTCTTCTTCTTCTTTTTCATTCTTCTTCTTCTTCTTCTTCTTCTTTTCATTCTTCTTCTCCTTCTTCTTCTCCTCCTTCTTTTCATTCTTCTTCTCCTTCTTCTTTTCATTCTTCTTCTCCTTCTTCTTCTCCTTCTTCTTTTCATTCTTCTTCTCCTTCTTCTTTTCATTCTTCTTCTTCTTCTTATTTTCATTCTTCTTCTTCTTATTTTCATTCTTCTTCTTCTCCTTCTTCTTATTTTCATTCTTCTTCTTCTTCTTCTTATTTTCATTCTTCTTCTCCTTCTTCTTCTCCTTCTTCTTTTCATTCTTCTTCTCCTTCTTCTTTTCATTCTTCTTCTCCTTCTTCTTCTCCTTCTTCTTTTCCTTCTTCTTCTCCTTCTTCTTCTTTTCATTCTTCTTCTCCTTCTTCTTCTTCTCCTTCTTCTTCTCCTTCTTCTTCTCCTTCTTCTTTTCATTCTTCTTCTTATTATTTTCATTCTTCTTCTTCTTCTTATTTTCATTCTTCTTCTTCTTCTTATTTTCCTTCTTCTTCTTCTTCTTCTTATTTTCCTTCTTCTTCTTCTTCCTCTTCTTCTTATTTTCCTTCTTCTTCTTCTTATTATTATTATTTTCTTCTTATTTTCTTCTTCTTCTTCTTCTTATTTTCCTTCTTCTTCTTCTTCTTATTTTATCTATTTTTCTTCTTCTTCTTCTTATTTTCCTTCTTCTTCTTCTTCTTCTTCTTTTTCCTTCTTTTCTTCTTCTTCTTCTTCTTATTTTTTCCTTCTTCTTCTTCTTCCTTCTTCTTTCTTCTTCTTCTTCTTCTTCTTCCTTCTTCTTCTTCTTCTTCTTCTGCATCCTCATCTTCTTCTTATTCTTCATCCTCATCCTCTTCTTCTTCTTCCTCATCTTCTTCTTCTTCTTCTTCTTCATCTTCTTCTTCTTCTTCTTCTTCTCTTCATTCTTCTTCTTCATCTTCATCTTCTTCTTCTTCTTCATCTTCTTCATCTTCTTCTTCTTCATCATCTTCTTCATCATCTTCTTCTTCTTCATCCTTCTTCTTCTTCTTCTTCTTCTACTTCTTCTTCTCCTCATCTTCTTCTTCTTCTTCTTCTTCTTCTTCTTCTCTTCTTCTTCTTCTTCTTCATCCTCATCTTCTTCTTCCTCTTCTTCTTCTTCTTCATCTTCTTCTTCTCATCTTCTTCTTCTTCTTCTTCTTCTCTTCATCCTCATCTCTTCTTCATCATTTCTTCTTCTTCCTCTTCTTCTTCTTCATCATCTTCTTCTTCATCTTCTTCTTCTTCTCATCATCTTCTTCTTCATCATCTTCTTCTTCATCATCTTCTTCATCATCATCTTCTTCATCTTCTTCTTCTTCTTCTTCTTCTTCTTTCTTCTTCTTCTTCTTCTTCTTCATCTTCTTCGTCGTGCCCCGTGACTGCCCAAATGAGTGAAGTGTGCGGTGATTCTAAGATCGACGGCACTCATCTGCATGTCATACTGACTGACAGTATTATTTCTCTTCCCCAGCAGACTCCAAGGGCATTTAAATTAAAGGTACAGTGTTCTGCACTAATATAAAGGCTCTCTGAAGCCTAGAAACCCTTTTAATAAGTTAAATTCGCAGCGAATAAATTCGCATCGAATCGAATTTATTCCGCAAATTCGGCGAATCAGCCGAATCGAATTTTTGAATAATTCGCTCATCTCTAATTAAAACCTTAGCATATTGTCAAAACTTTTATCGTTTCATCCCTTCCCCCCCCCGTCCCCCCCTTCCCCAGCCTATATACCCCCCCATCCAATCTCTAACCCCTTCTGCTCTGCATTTTCTTGTTTATTTCTGGAGATTGTAATCCCTATAAAAGAAGAACAAAATATGTTTTCATATTATTCTATATTAATCTCCCATAACCTCTAAGGCTAGCCTTGACTTTTTGAATTCCTCCCATTTGTTCCATCTTATATGGTGACTCTCCATCTTATCTTCATTCAGATGAAAAAGTTCCTCCAATTTACATATTTGATCCACCCTATCCACCCAGTCCTTTATTTTCGGCACCTCCTGTCTCCTCCAATACTTGGGTATCAGTCCCTAGAAGCTATTATGAGCATTTTGTTTTCTGCTCCTAGAAGCTAATAGTGTTATCCTATGTGCCCATGCACACTATTTTATGCTGGGAGCGTTTTTCAAGCTTCAGAGGTTAGGAGCAAAAAAAAAATCGTTTTGAGGAGTTTTTAGGAGTGTTTTCCTGGCACAAAAAAATGCTGAACGCTCCTAAATGCTACTACAAGCCAGCACAAAAAAAACCTGTTATCAGCGTTTTTCATTTTGTATTTTTTTTGCAATTTTTAGTTTATGAAAACCGCTAGTGTGCATGGAGTCTATTAGCAGAATGTAAAAAATATTGTTTATTTTTAAAACTTTTCAGGCTTTTTCATTTATATCGCAAAAAATAAAAAAAAACCCAGTGGTGATAAAATACCACCAAAGGAAAGTTCGATTTGTGTGAAAAAAAATGATATAAATTTTGTTTGGATGTAGCATTTCATGACCACGCAATTACCAGTTAAAGTAGCACAGTGCCTTTTAGAAAGAAATGGCCTGGTCATGAAGGGGGGAGGGAAATGTCTGGAGCTTAAAATGTTACTAAACCCACAATAGTAAAATCCGTCTGTATATGCAGTAAAGCATGCTTGTTATGCTCACTGTGGAACCTAAGGGGTTAATCCTCTGCATTGTTTAAATAGGCTGTTTGATTGTGTCTTCTCTGATCCTCCCCTTCTTTCACAGTCCCCAATCCATCTGCTGGTAGCACAGAGCTTCGTGGCCAGTTGCACATGTTCAGTTTGGTGTGTATTGCTGGAGAGTTTTTTTTTCTTGCATATGATGAGCACAGGGCCAATCAGCACTGTCCATACAGAAGGTCGGGTGTTATACAGCCTCAAAGGAGAAAGAGGGGAGAGAATGAAATTTCCTCCTACAAGCTTTAAGCAGTGCTCTGCTGGACACTGATAGAAGTCACAAGACTGCTCTAACTACTGATGAAAAAAGGTATTTAGCAGTTTATATTTACTAAAATAATTGCAATTCCATGTTGTGTGTACTGTGGGAGACCAGATATAGTGAATGCAGGGTCCTGGGTTTAGTAACATTTTAAGTGTTTAAGCAAAAACTTAAACAAGAAGTTACTTTGTTTGTAATTTTCTGAGACACAGAAACAACTTACAGCGATAGGCAGACAACATCTTTAATTCTTGAATTCTTCTTCTTTTACTCTGCCTTATGTTATTAGCGCTCTCTTAGCAAACTGATGCCATCTTTATCAGCTTTATGACTTTATTATATTTGTAGTCAGTTTAGATAACATTCCTGGACTGAGGTCTGTATTTCTCATTCTGTGCCAATAAATAACTAAAAAATTAGATAAAGGTACATTCACAGGAACAAAAAAATTACAAAAAAAAAAACATTAATAGGAATGTTATTAATGATCATGTAAAACTAAGCTTCCATTTAAACAAATGAAAAATCTGTAAACTGCAGTAAACACATCCTTATGCAGGCCATAGACGGGTCGTTTATCGGCCGAATTTTCGTCCAACCAAAAAATCGTCCGATATTCACACCGTTAGTGGGGCAATGCCGTCGGCCGTTTTTCGTGGATCTTCTCGTTTCTTTTTATCGGTCATGCTGGAAAATCCACAAAAAAACTGGCGGTTTTTTTTATAAGCATTGGTGGCAACATCCATGGCAGCAACAATTGATTTTTCATTTATCGGCCGACAATTCAGCCAATAAACAGCCCGTCTATGGCCTGCCTTAAAAGACCAAACCCAGCTTAAAGCGGAGCTCCACCCAAAAGGGGAAGTTCCGCTTTACGAACTGCTCCCCTGCTCCCCATTAAGGATTTGCACCTTTGGGGAGCGGGTACCCAAATTTGACAGGTACCCGCTCCCACTTCCAATCCGATCGCCTAGGTGTCCTCCCTCCCTGTAGTCTTTTGGGATGCATGACAGGTCCCAGAAGACTACAGGACCATTCATGAAGCGCAGCTCTACTTATTTATTTATTTTAGATTTTTTATTCATATTCTAATACTATTTTTTATTTTCCATTTTTTTCATTCGAGCAAAAAATCGCACAAAAAAAGTGCGCAACAATGCACACAAACACGTCAATCGCGTGTTTTTATTCTTTTTTATGGGAGCAATAACGCGCCAAAAATGTGCACATCTGCCCAAATCAAGCTACAAAAGTAGCTCCAAAAGTTTTTTGAGCTTCAGGCATTCTGCTTCAGGCAACTTGGAGTGGAGATGTGAACCATCTCCACTCAAATACTTAAATACACATATAAATAAAAAATAATGATTAATAAATCATAAATAAATACATAAATAAATAATCCTTAACCTTAAAAAAATTAAATACATTATTTATTATTATTATTAATAATAATAATAATAATAATAATGATGATAATATAAATAATAATAATAAATCAACAGCCAAACCAAAAAAAAAAAATATTATTAGTAATAATAATAAATTACTATTATTATTTTATTACTTTTTTAGGTTTTGGGGTTAAGGTTGTGGGTTTCATTATTAATATACTAATTTACTATTACAAGCATTTATTTATGATTATTTTTATTTATTTGTGTATTTATTTTACATTTATTAATTATATTATTATTATTATTACCCAAATAAATAAATAAATAATGAGAAAATAATAAGTAAAATACTATAATTAAGATAATAAATAAATAATAAGAAAATAATAAATAAAATAATAAAAATTAAAGCTGATGGAGAAACTAAAAAAAAGAAAAACCTAGCAACAAATGATGTAACACATATTTTTCTCTATTGGCTAATAAAAGAATGGCAAAGTTCAACAACGCCTAAAAACACTGTATGAAAACACGCAAAAACTTGCGCAACAAAAATGCTGAAAAACGCTACACTCATAAGTGAATGGAGCCTTATAGTTGAAGCCCACATACAGTATAGCCATATGAGTTAATAAAATTGAGCATCTGATGGGAAAGAGTTTCTGCTGTCCTCTATCTTTGATAAACCTGTAATTCTCCCTAAATCCTGTCTCATGCATGTGTCATGTTTTAAATGTTTATTTGGCAATTACAGTTTAAAAAGCTAACAAACATCAACAAAAACTCTATTTTTTTAATTTATAAATACAATAACATTAAACTGGACCATCATAGTCTCTCTTTAAGGGGAAGTGAAACTGAAGCATTGTTGAGTTCAGTAATCAGCAATCAGTAGCAGCTATAATATACGTCTGTCTGTTTAGTGCCATTGAGTGGATTTCACTTGATATTTTTTATAATATATAAAAAAATAAAATATACACTTGTGCTAAAAGGTTTGCATACCTTGGCAGAAATCGTGAAATTTTGGCATTGATATTAAAAATATGACTGATCATGCCAAAAATTGTTTTTTTATGAAGCTATTTATTATCACATAGTTGTTTGGCTCCTTTTTAAATCATAATGGTAATGGAAGTCAACCAAATGGCCATGAGCAAAAGTTTACATACCCTGGAATGCTTTTTGCCTTGGTACCGACACACAAGGTGACACACACAGGTTACAATTGCAATTAAAAGTTAACTTCCTACATCCGTGACTTTTTAAATTGCAATTAGTGTCTGCGTATTAATAGTAAATGAGTTTGTTGGCTCTCACATGGATGCACTGAGCAGGCTAGATACTGAGCCATGGGGAGCAGAAAAGAACTGTCAAAAGACATGTGTAACAAGGTAATGGAACTTTGTAAAGATGGAAAAGGATATAAAAGACATCCAAAGCCTTGAATTGTAAGTGATTGAACAGTACAGTAAGTGATTGAACAGTACTGTTCAATCACTTACTGTATTAAGAAATTGAAAATTTGGTGATCTTTTGATACCAAGCCAAGATCAGGTAGACCAAGAAATATTGCAGCCACAACTGCCACACAAGAATTGTTTGGGATACAGAGAAAAACCCACAGGTAACCTCAGGAGAAATACAGATGCTCTGGAAAAAGACAGAATGGTTGTTTTTTTAAGGAGCACAATATGATGATATTTGAACAAAAATGAGCTGCATGGTCGAGTTGCCAGAAAGAAGCCTTTACTGCACCAATGCCACAAAAAACCCCAGTTACAATATGCCTGACAACACCTTGACACACCTCACAGTGCTTTTTTTGTGGCATAAAAAAAGTCTTGAGCATTCCCTGCAACAAAAATGTAATTTTTTGATGAGATACTCCCAAAAGGAAATCATGTCTAAAGGGATGTATACCCTTCACTTTCCTCTTTAGAGCCCTGCAGGTGCAGCAGCTGATTGATAATTATGAAATCACTCCCATATAGATTCACTCTGCACATGGACACAGACAAACAAACAAACGCAAAAGCTATATTTTCAGAATAACAAAAGGTGGGAATCTGTAACAAAATGTATCAGCAAAAGTGGAGTTATTCTTTAAAAAAAGAAAAACAAAATGAACCCTAAAGCAGTATGGTTTCTCTTTAATGAGTTCCCACAGCACAAACTGTAGGCAAGTGTAGTGGGATGCAAGAGAACGCCCTGGAATATTTTTCTTCTATGGTCTAATAGTCAGGAGGTGACTATAACTCTTGTCTACCATGTTAAAAAATTTACTACATTTTAATTACTGGTTTTGGGTCACACACACTATAAATATTTGTAGGACATTTACCACAACCTTAAACTATTGGTTTGCTGTTAAATAATTTGTCATTATAGCAACAAGTAAAGAAGCAATTAATTTGTTTGTGCAGCATCAGTGATCTCCCCTAAGAGTGGAAAAAACAGAGATAGTTTTCACTGTATAAATGACACTCTGTGAAGCAAAGTATAGTATCTCAGTGTATACAATCAGTGTATCCAGACTGTCACAAGCATAACATGATTTGGCAGATTTTAAATCTTCTCTCCAGTTTGATGAGCACATGAATATTTCAGCAGCATTGAGAACGGCAATTACAAAAGTCTATTTGTAGCTTTAGTTCCATACTGTAGGCACATATTGATTTCTTGTCTCATTTTAACCAATAAACCTGAAAGAAAAAAAATAACTCATAAATCAAATTAGGGTACAAAGAGCAAGAAGGAAATGTACGATTCTGAAGTCTAATGATTTAAAAAGTTGTATATTTCATTACGTCTATGATTTAAAAGGCAACTTTTTTAAAAGCCAATTTTTAAACTTAAAAAAAAAAAAATTTGAATATGGAAAATGTAATCATTTGCTCAAGGATAACCTCCACCACCACACACACACACTTTGGGCATGCCCTGGGCTCACACGAGCATAATATAGAAAACTGTGTCATTATGATGCGCTGTTCTCTGCATCAAGGACTGTCCACTGCTGCTACAGGAAGAAGAGGACCTGGGGATGTCACATGACTGGTGATGATCAGTGACTTATAGCAGCAGGGCTGTGATAATGCGGCGCGGCATATCCAATCCGATACTAACTGACGCTGGGTGGGAACTGACTGAGGCTGCTTTCACACTTATCTGTTCTTCTTCCTCTTTTGCATTAAAAAAAGCAGAAGAAAAACATGTGACTATGTATTCCCATGGAAATCTTCGCACTGATCCGTTGGAGGTCCAGTGTAGTTTTTTGTAAATCCTGCTTGGTGCAGGTTTGGTGCAGTAAAAAAAAACACACAAAAAAATGCACCTCCCCATTAAAATCAATAAAAAAAAAATGGCAAAATGCATAAAAAACTCAATGCCTTTTTGGAGTCACATGACCTGTAAAAACTGCACCACAAATGCCGTAAAAACAAAGTAACGCATATGCATTTTTGCCATGCTTGAAAGTAGCCTTAATGACATTTGTATCTCCAGTGACACTAATACAGTGATCAGTGCTAATAATATACACTGTCACTGTACTACTTACTAATGACACTGGCTGGAAAGGGGCAATCAAAGGGTTAACTGTGTGCCTTAACCAATGTGTAATGTGTTTACTGTGTAGTGTTTTCAGTAAGCAATGTGCCAGTTTTTACTCCTTGTCTTGCACATCGCTGCTGTCATAGAAAGCTCTGTGTTTTTTTACCAACACAGAGCTCTCTGCTGTCATTCACTCTGCTGATCAGTGGTTCCTGGCCATAAATCATTTGCCGGGACCCGCTGATTGGCATGTGCTGGAGCGAATGGCAGCACAACCAGGGCAGGGGATGCACATGTGTGCCCCCTATGCAGAAGAGCCAGATCTGGTGCATGAGACCCACCGGCCCACCATATTTTTAATGTGGCCTGGTCAGCAACTGGTTATAGCAAGCAGCATACACATCGGAAAATGACTTGGTACTAGCTTCCTCAAGTGCTCAAACTCTCAGACTTGGAGAGGGAGGAGTGCTATAAAGAAGTAGTCTGCTGTGCTGCAGTGCTCATGTACTAACAAGTAACACGCTGATAGAAGGAAAGAGCAAAGTGACAGAGAGGTGATCTATTGTTTTTCTGCATCCCCTTTCACTGTCCAGTCAAAGACTGGGGAAGGGACAAGACCTGTAAGGTTACACAAATTCAGAAAAAAAAAATCAGGTCGTTTACCCTGCCAAACAGGGCTGTGCTGTGTGACAGAGCTGTATAAAACTCAGAACTGGATAGACAGCAATACAAATCCTTGGCAGGTTATAAAACCCCCATATATATATATATATATTTCATCTTTGCATTTAATAAGTTGCCGTGCTAAGATATAAGCAATACTAGTTTGTGTTTAGCCATTATACGAGGCAAGTTTGGACAGCTGTTTTCCCCCTAATAAAAAAATCATCATGTAAATATTTTTGTGTTTTTTTGTATTTTTGTGCTGTATGTTCTCTTTGTGTAATAATAAATTTTGCTTGATGATCCGAATCATTTAAGTGTGGCAAAAATGGCAACGGGTGGCGGGGTGTGCTGGAAAATCC